AGACCGCTCAGTGTGCTCGTGGAGGCCAGGACGAGGTGTCAGGTCTCCTGGCCTCTAGCATAGCACCATTTCCCCACATTTTAATAGCTCCATGTCAGTAGATTACCTTTTTCTACCAAGAGGTCAACTTAACCCTTCTGTTCCGCTGTATCTCAACGTGCTCCATAAGGAGCATATATCCAGTCAAGAGGTCAGAAGAAACTTGAACATGTCTCCAGCAAGTAGGACTTGGCTCGGGTCATAACCCTTACTCAGAGTTTGCTGGATGTGTGCGTTCTAGGGGAAGATGCCAGCTGTTTTTCTGCGAAGTCTGTGGAGCACTATTACAGCTGGAACATTGGGAAGCGGAGAGCCGCTGAGGTAACCCCACGTCTGTCTGTCTGATAACGCGGGCTGCTGCTGAGAGCCTGTGGGGAGCAGGGAATGAAACACTCGTGTGTGCTGGCTGCCTCGTTGTTGTTGTTCTGTGCCATGAAGCCGAGTCTGACTCATAGCGGCCCCATGGACAGAGAACTTCCCGTCGGGTTCCCTAGTCTGCGATCGTTGTGGAGACAGATCCCAGGCCTGTCTCCTGTGGAGACGCCGGGGGCGCTCTAACTGCAAACCTTTTCCGCTAGCAGCCGAGCGCTTAATTGTTGTGCCACCAGGGCTACCCCCTTAAACCTTGTCATGTGGAAGATAAAAGTGGTAAAATGTGTGGCATATTTTGTCAATATAATAATCATCAAAATTTTTTCTCCGTTAAAAATCTCATTCTTCCAAGAGTCATAGCTAGCCTTTGAAAGGCCTACTTTATTTTCCTGCATTGGTAGAAGTATCACATTTTCTAAAATTGTCTGTGAATCTCATAATATTGAAATTAGTATTTATGGAGTGCTCCCAGTGTGCCAGCTACCCCGTCAGTCACAGTGGGGTTGTGAGAAGTGGAAGCAGCTCTGCGTCGGTGTACCTGGGGAGGTTCGGGAGGGAGGGGAAGCGGGAGATCACAGGTCAGGACCAGGCGGAACCCTCCTGGGCCAGATCCGGGATTTCAGTTCTGTCCTATGAACGTGAAGGAGGCAGTAGACACTGTTTTACTGTAAAGGAAAAAAAAACACTGAGGAGTACCACAGCTCAGAGTTTTTTTCTTTAGAGAAAAATGGTTCTGACAAATTAAGTTAGCGTGGTTAGCTACGAGTAGATGATGTGTTTCAACATATTGCTTTGAAGTTGAAGGATTTGATTATGGTTCAAAAAACAAATTTTTTTTCTTTTAAGTGGCAAAGAGCAATGACGATCCGAAAAGTCTTACAGGAAATCCTAGAGAAGAACCCCAGGTTTCACCACCTGACACCCCTGAAAACCAAGCACGTGGCTCACTGGTGTCGCTGCCACGGCTACACGCCCCCGGACCCCGAGAGCCTGAGGAATGACGGGGACACGATTGAAGACGTGCTGACCCAGATCGACAGTGAGCCAGGTAGCCCTCAGTGATGGCCGAGCGGCGTTTCCTGTGGGGGCACTCAACACCCACGCTTCTCAGACCTCCGTGACCCAGCAATTTTCCCTGCTCTTCCCTAAACTGGGTGAAGGGACCTCTTGCCATGACCCCCCTCCGCAAGGACTGTACCGTCCCTACAGAGCTGTTTGTGCCCGAGGCTGCAGGCTGTGCCCATGTTGCTCCATGAGCCCCATCCCCAAGGGCTGTACCCTCCCTACAGAGCTGTTTGTGTCCAAGGCTGCAGGCTTTGCGTCCCAGCTGGTCATGCTGCCGACTCTCATCCCACAGGCACCCGTCTTCCTTAAGGAGCCGCTCCTCACTTCATTTCCTCTTTGGAGGCTGTCCTCACCCACCTCTTTCCCTCCAGGGGGAAGTGACTTCTTCCTTTGTGACCTTATGAACCACTCCCTCACAGATTCAAATCTCACCTGTCCCTTGGAAGACGGGGACTGTGTCTTATGTCTTAATCTATCTCCAACACCTGGCTAGGAAGTGCCGCCGAGTGTTGGAGGCACAGGTGTCAACAGCTAGTCACGCTGCAGGTGCAGTGAATCAAGGGTTTTATAACAGACACACAGACCGGGCTGTCTGGTGAGGGGTAGGGACAGGGCATAAAGGATATTTGGAGAGAAGCAGCTTTTTGAGTTTCACCCTGTAAAAGTAAGGTCTGTTTCCCACCCCTAACCTCATTTATATGGAAAAACAGGAGCTCCACTTGACGGAACCTGGGGCACAGAGGGGCCTTTGAGGCCGCCCAGCCACCTCCTCCAGGAAGCTTTCCTGGGAGCTCTGACCTGGCTGGCCGCCTTTCTCTGTTCTCCTGCAGCCCTTGCTGTCGGTACCTGGTGAGCCTGTCTGATCTGCCCTCTTACATCTGAGCTCTGTGGAGAACAGACTGTTGATCAGTTCCGTTTCGCTGGCAGTGTGTGTTCTGTCCATGTAACTGGTTAATCTGTGAGAGCACAGCCGGCGACCCAGAAAAGTCCAGGAGCTGGACGCTCTGGTCTTGCAGGTGCCCTTAAACCCATCATCTACCTGGGCCGGACTTCACTTACTCATCCACACAATGAAAGGGCTGGACTAGAAGATTCCCAGGGCTTTAAAGTTCTGAGGCTCTTCGTTAGGCTTTGTATCAGTTGCTTAATTGAAGAGGGGGTGCTCCGTCTACACTACAGCGTTAACAGTTCTTATCTCCGAGTCCTGAGGATGTGGGTGATTCTTATTTCCCTCACTGTCCATTTCTAAATTTTCCAGATTTTCTACATTGAACAATATCATTTTTTATAATCAGAAAGATTACTTTTAATTAAAATATGAAAAAATCAGGTTTAGTCATTACTTGGGGAGGGGTGAGGGGATGGCCTAGATTTTGGTAGCAGAAGTCAGAATTACGTACCATCTGCTTTGTCTCGGATTGCAGTTACATCACTGTGTCTTAACACAAGATGCCTCTCTCTCTGCTTTTCTCCCCCATGAATTACCGGTTCTCAGAATTAAGAGATTCGGAGACTTTTAGAATTGGAAAGGTCAGCTCCCTGGATACTCATCCGCCTTCCTCTCAGCTCAGGCTGTTGGTTCTGTGGCGGTTGAAAGTCATTTTATTTTGTCACCACAGATGTCCTAAGACTGATTACGTCTCGTTTAGAGTGCCCGTCATCCTTCTCCTCTGCTGACAACCTCTGCCGGAAGCTGGAGGAACTTCAGCAGTTTCAGAAGAGAGAGCCAGAGAATGAGGAGGAGGTGGATGTGCTCAGCCTCTCAGAGCCGTTGAAGATAAGCGTCAAAAAAGAGCAGGAAGAGAAACAGGAAGAGGTGAAATTCTACCTGCCACCAACACCAGGGTCCGAATTTATTGGTGATCTCACACAGAAGGTATGCGGCTGTGGTTGTGGTGTTGGGAGGTCACAGACCAGGCCAGGTGTGAGATGTTCAGAGATAACCTATCAACCTAGGCCCGAGACTTTCTGGTCGGTAAACGTGTGATTTATTTCCACCTCACCTGGTAACTTCTAGTAACTCTCTGAACACTCCCCTTCCTACATCAGGGCCCTTTGGCAGGAAGATTAATTACATGTGAAAAGGTTGCTTGTTGAGCCCCGAATTGGAGCCTTGAATTGGAGCCAAGGCGGCTAGATAGAGGCTGTTTTTTCTTTTAATTTCCTTTTCTCTCATCTGCCTCAGGAGCCCCTTTCTCTCATGAGGCAAGTCATAAGGTTTCCAAGTTATCCTTCAGGGGGTAACCTTTCTTGACATTTTTATAGCTCCCAAGTGCCCTGCCTGTGGTGTCTGTGGCACATCCCACCCTCATTATTCAGGAGAGAATTATTTCTCCACCCCTGCCAACACTTAACAGCTTGGTGGCGTCTCCCTCTGCACAGCTGCCTGCGACCCAAAGCGCTTTCGCTACAGGCGGGAATGAAAAATGGGGCAAGATGGTGTCTGCAAGTATGTCTTCTTCCGCTTTTGCAAATGTGATTTCAGGCCTCAAAAACGTGGGTTCCACTGTCAGAATTCAAGATAGATCCTGACCGTGTTCTCCCATGAACAAGATTTGGGGGTCAAAACAGGGTTATGATAGCATTTTTAACCATCAGCCAAAAACATGGAAAAATAAGATAAAATATTCTTCCAGCTGCTGCCTTCAGCGTCACTTCCCGGGAGTTTGCCCACCGTGTTTGCGGAGCTCCTCTTCCCACCAGCGGGATGCTTGTTTGGAGAGAAACTATTCTTAATGCAGAACAGGAACAAAACTTTTCTTTTCCCCCCAGATTGGGATCAGCCTGCAGCCTGTGGTGCTCCACAGGAACGTGTGTGCGTCGGTGGTGGAGGACATGATTTTAAAGGTGGGTGAGCGCCGGCGGCTGCGGGGCTGAAGCCCTGGGGCCGGCTGGGCAGGTGGGCGGTCAGACCCGGCGGCTTTCAGTGACGGAGCAGGCGGAGAGGGCACAGGTGGCCTGCCTTCAGACTTCTCAAGTTAGGCTTAGTTCGTCCTTAGTTTTCCTTCTGATTTTTAAATGAAGTGAATCATGGCCTCATCTGAGCGCTGAAGCATCTGCAGGAGCTTTTGTGCTGATGTCACTCTGAAGACATTTCATGCCCTTTGAAGTGCCTTTTAAAAAGTGTTCCAGGGTGAGAGCTGGTGTTCTCACTGCTTCAGGGAGGTGTCACACTACAGAGAGACAGCCACACCTGTCCTGTCTTTGCACAGGAGATGGTAAACCCGTTCCTCGTCCAGTCTGCTGCTAGCTCAGGAGTTCCTTTCCCGGTCAGCCCGCTCCAGGTGTAGTGATACCTCACGGTAACCCTTGCCTCTCTGTTTTCCCTAAAAACAGTATCTGACGCGTGAGAGTCCCCCTGGTGGTGCTATGTCACCATCAGGCCTCTGTCACTTGTGGTCTCTGACTCAGACCTTTAATTTTTCCCTAAGGACTTTGGTTGTTTCAGGCATGGGGTCAGAGGTGTCCCTCCCTGCAGCAGGCAGGTGGCGGGTTTGGAGAGTAACCCGTCTTCTCTTGCAGGCCACGGAGCAGCTGGCGAGTGATATCCTGAGACAGGCTTTGGCGGTTGGATACCAGACGGCGTCTCCCAACAGGTACCGTCCTCTGAGTGGTTTCAGGCTTAGACATCTCCTGGCAGCTCAGCTGCCCAGCAGGATGCTTTCTACTCGTATCAGGCCAGTGAGAGATGGGGTCAGGGGCTGCCCCGTTTGTCTTTCTGAGAGAACCTCTTGGTTGTACAGGCTCAGCGTTGCCTGGAAGTCTGTCTCTTCCTGGTTGCTACTCTGTAGACAGCTGCAGGCTTTTATGTTACAGGGTTGAATGAGCACATATCAGCTGTTTGGGATAAAAGGAACAACAGTGCTCATGGTGTGTCAGACGTGGGGGCCAGGCGCACATACGTGGAAACCCGTGAGAGCCGCAACAGCACTGCCTGGTTTGGCGGGGTCTCACCGGTTCCCCCTTTGGACGGTGCGGTCTTGACACTTGTCGTTCTCTGTTAGTGAAAATACTTGGGTTTCCCTTCTCTGACAGGTTTCTGCCTTACATGGGGTCTGGCTTTCCCAGGTTTTACTGTATTACCTGATTTTTCATTGCTCAACTCTTATCCCTTTTTAGAAATGAGGGAGCTGAGTGGCGGAAGGTAATTTTACCTCGTTTTCCCAGGAAATACACAGCAGAACCTAGATTCAAAGCCAGGCTTCCCACATACTCTTTGCTGCTCCCTCATCATAGTTGTTTGGGACGCTGAATCTTGGTCTTTCCCTAGGCCCTGGAGGAACGGCAGGTAGGCCTCTTCTCCACATCTTGGCATTGTTTTCAGAGGAAATGTACTTCATCCCATTCTGATAAGGGCTATCATAGATTTATAAAACTGTAACAAAGCGCCTGAAGATGTGAAGAGGCCTACACATCAGAGGAATATTAGGTCAGACTTCACAGGAATCTGTCGGCAAAGTAGAAGAGGTCTTTAAGGAGAAGGAAGGGGATGGAGGTTTGGTGATGCTGCTGCTTCTCCTGCTTGAAATCCAGAGTGAGCTGACTGCCCTCTGGGCCGCTCACGTCGTGGTCCTGACCCTGGGTGGGGTGGCAGGGTGCTTCGATGCAAACATTTTGCGTGACACTTGGCATAATTCCACCTCCCATCTTTCCACAAGACAGGAAATAGGCCCCAGAGTTCTGTGGTGCTTTGACTCAGCTTTCCGTCTGCTGAGACTAAGTTACAAAAATACCATGCAGTTTTTCCAGCCACTTTTTTTCTCAGTCCTCGGAGTCTTATTCCTAACCATTCAGCCAATTTCTTGAAACCCATCTCACACCTGTGACCGGGCAGTCACATCTGAGCCCCGAGCAGGGCTGACTGTGGTTGAGAGCAGGCCAGATCTTTCACCACCATTGAAACGCATTAATGGAGGAGAGAGAGAGAGAACGCACTCATCCCCCCGCTCCTTCCTGGGTGACCCTAAGCCGTGTCTTGTCATTCGTTGTTGTCTCTTCCATTCGGGTTTGTGTAAATTGATTAAATTAGTAGGTGCCTGATAGAGTTACACCTGATAACACCCTTTGTTTCTTGGACCAGGATTCCCAAAGAAATCACAGTGAGTAATATTCACCAGGCCATTTGCAACAACCCTTTTCTGGACTTCCTCACAAACAAACACATGGGGATCTTGAATGAGGAGCAGTGAGCAGAACAGAGCTGCCCCAGAGAAGCAGGCTCTGACGCTGATCCGAAACGTGAGGACTGTGGTGACTCTCCTGTGTACCTCGGGACATCATGGTGCCAGACCATCGCCTCCTCCTGATCTGTTGTAACGCCAGAGTGCTCGTCCCAGGTTGAAGTCCCTTTAGGACAGAAGTTTGTTTCCCGGCTCGAGGGTGAAGCTGTGAGTGGATGTGTGCCCTGTCAGCTTGAGTCTGTCCACTTCTGTAAAGGCTCCACAAGAAGATGTCAGAGCTGGGCCAGGCTGTGTGGGTCAGATTCTTCTCCCTCCGCGTGTCCTCCAGGGAGTCTGATGTGCTAGAGGTCTCACCCATTCTGTGGCTGGGGTGACCGGCAGCCCCCACAGCTGCTCTGGTAACACCTGAAGATGGATCAGCCTTCCGCACTCAGCGCTGGTTCTGTGGTCCTGGCCGGCCTTGGTGTGGAGGGTCCGCCTGTCAGCCCAGGTGAGTCAGCTACGGGAAGAGGTAATGCTGTGCAGATTACCTCACAGGGCTGGCGGGCTGTAGACTGACCAGAATTCTGTCTTCATGGAGCACAGGATCTTCACTGTGGTAACGTCGAGGGCTGCAGGGCCCAGCCTCGGTGAGCAGAGGTTCAGCTGTTACCCAAGAGGCTCTAAATTTGTTGATAACAGAGTCCACAGATCCCGAGCACTTGGCAGAGTCGTTACAGCTTTGAGCACACGTGTGCTGGGCGGATAGCTGGCTCACACCATCTGCTGCCGAATCCATACGGAGTGGCCGTGAGTGAGCAGCCTGGACGCAGGCTGTGCTGGGACCCAGTGTCCTCATCTTCGCTGTCAAGGGAGTGTTTCCTAAGAAGAAAGGCGTTGAAACGAAGCACCTGTGAGTGCCTTAGAGGTAGATAACCGCCCAAGCCAGGAGACAGGGACGTCAGTGCTCAGCAGCCATGAGAACAGAACACGCATGAGCACAGAGGTCCCCAGGGCCACTGCATGATGTCCTGGGCCACTGAAGGTGTTCCTGCCTTCCTGACGTCGTCTGTGTGAAGGGTAAAGATAAAAATTTATTCTCAGTTAGCAGTCTGCTCTTATTCTGCTTGAAGAAAATTTGAAACCAGTGAATTCAAAGAAATTTGTCCAAGCAACAACATTCAGGTTTTCGTGAGTCAGGTGTTTGAGTCTGGAAAATAAGGCAGGGAGGTGACTGGGTGATTATTCAGCATCTGAGCATTGCAGATGCAGAAGGAATGTATTCAGCAGGCTATAGGGCGTGCCCTGACCTAATAACAAATTGTTTAGGATGTCAAGGCTCAGATATTCTAGATCTGTACTACTCCAAGGAAGACAGATATGTAGAGTCATTGAGTGGACTATGACAGATCTGCAGGGTGGAAGATTTGACCCAGGTGAGAACAGACTTGTTTATTACAGGTGTGACAACCTAAAGAAGTTACGTTTTTGCAAAAGAGAAATGATTCAACACCCCCCCCCCCCGCCGTGTGTTGATGTACCATTGTACTGTATCATAATATGTAACATAATTGTGTAACAAAAACGTCTGCAATAAACCTTTCAGTATCCAGTTTTCTGCGTTTGAAGCACTGTGTTGAGGTTTATGTCAGAAATAGCTGGAATGAGGGAAGTAGTAGATATTTGTGTTTAAATTGATTCCTTTCCAAAAAAGAATTGCAAGAACCTTGCAAGATAAAAGATTACAGTTGCATAAAAGTCTAAAAGCAAAAAATGGAAGGTACATATTGACCCTGGAAATAATTATTTCTGACAGCATGGGGCTAAGGAAAACTGCTTATTAGAGCTCGGAGCGTCCTCCAAGGCCAGGCGAAGGGGAGACAGCTCCTGCTGTCCGACAGAGAACAGGTGGTTTCTCTGGCGAGGGAAAATTGCCTCTGCTGAGATCTAAAAGGAATTTCTCCTGCGAGTCCTTAAATGCTCTGACCATCTGGTATCATAATGGCTAAAAATGACGAAATTGCAGAAAGACTTCAAAAATGTCCGTTTTTATGTCAACCCTTAATACGAGCTAAAGGCTTTGAAAGATTTGGTTCTTGAAAAGCAAGACTTCCCGTAGGGGAGGCCCAGTGTAGCATTCCAAGAACGCAGCTTTCTTGGGCCCAGACCTCACTTAGGGTCAGAATTGAGGAGCTGCCTCGTCTGGAGAATTGGGGATCGGGGCGATCCTTGGGCTTGCCTTCCTGGAAGTGAATGACCTCAGCCAGGATCCCAGAGCAGACGTTCCGAGTCAGCGTCACAGGCAGGCCCTGAGTGGGGATGACGGCCCTGTGTGAATGGAGCCGGCAGAGTCAGCGCTGGGCCCTTTTGTTGACCCTGCTGAGAGGGGACGTTCCTTATCTGCCCTTGGGGGGCAGTGGCAAGGGGCACCCTCCAGCAGGGCCAAGCTTTCCTCAAATGCTGCTTTATGGAGTTTGGCCCGAAGTCCTGGCGTTGCACCCCGAAGCACAGACAGGTGGGACTGAAGGCCTGTGAGGCTGCTCCCGCCTCCCTGGACCTACGGGGTCCAGCTCCCAGGCCAGTGGGGCAGCTCCTGGTCCCTCATCCTCGTTCTTCTACCAGGGCTTGTGCGGGTCTCTCTGGTCAGTTAATCACTGTGCTCGAGGGAATTACACCTGCTGACACCCACTGTTGGAATGGCGGCTTTGGTTACGGGATAGTGAACGTTCAACGTTTTCTTCTGGCTGAAAATTAGCCAACAGATTGAACTGCTTTTTATTTTTAAAAACTTTTCTCTTTATGAAATACAGAAATGCTCATTGTATAGACACTTCATCAAGTATCCAACCAAATCCATTGCCGCCGAGTCCATTCCGACTCATAGTGACCCTGTAGGACAGAGAAGAACTGCCCCATAGGGTTTCTAAGGCTGTCATCTTTATGGAAGCAGACTGCCACATATTTCTCCTGAGGAGCGGCTGGTAGGCGTGAACTGCCGACCTTTCAGTTAGCATCTGAGTGCTAAACCGCTGCGCCACCAGGGCTCTTCGGTAGCACGTCAGGCCTCACCTAACCCTAGAGTGAGTGGGAGGGGGTTTCTTCTTCAAGACTCACATCTCCTGGGAGTAGAGAAACCTAGTCAGGAAGGTTTGGGGGTTGGGACGTTTGTGACAAGTTCTTGACAATGTTCTGAGAAGGTTCTTGGGCGTGCCGTGTGCCCCCCGGGGGTCTGCGCCAGTGCTGCCAGGAAGGCGGCCTCACGGGTCCAGGCGAGGGACAGCAGGGCTGGTTGGCCCTCACCGCAAAGGCACGCGTGGGCTTTCCGGCCAGGTCTGGGTGGGGGAAGCTGCGAGCTGTGCGGTGTGACGCAGGCCGCGTCCGAGCACTCTGGGGCGCGGCATGTTAGTGGCGTCAGATGGACCGAAACTACAGATGGAAACAGCTGGCTCCTGGCGGGGCAGGGGGTGCTTGGGCAGGAAAGAACTGCAACAGCTGCGCTTCCTGGCCGTTCACCAAGTACCAGGCACTGCCCCGAACACCCTGCATGTGACACATTCTCTTGGCAGGCCAGCAAGGCGGTGGGGTTACCCTCACTTTACACGTTGCTCACAGTGAGTGGAGAAGCCAGGGTTTCAGCCCGACTAGCTTCAGACTCCTTTTGCCTGAGGGTCCTGGATGAGGGGGGCGGGAAAGGGCTAAACACGAAAGAGGGGAGGTTGGCGGACTTTGAAACTGCACACAACACCGGAGTAGCCCCTGCAGCCCCCAAGTTAGATGCTCCTCAGGATCACGGGACTCCCAGGGACCCTGGCAGTAACCACGGTACATTCAAGTCCTTGTTACCAGGATGCGCGAAGTATGAGAAAGCTCTCATGTTTATAATTAAAGAAAAAACAAGAAATTGAAAAGAGCTGTCTTCATTTTAGTAAAATCTGTTGATTTCCTACAGAACGCCTGGCAAGCAGTCTCTCCTCAGGAGCATCTCACATGCAAACCAGTCAAGTCTGAAATAATAGAATCCTTTGTATGGATTTGGTTTAATCTGTAAAGGAAAGGGCCTTTCCTCCGCTGAAGGGAAGGGCTGTGCCTGTCAGAGCTGGAGGGAAGGGAAGGGCCGTGCCTGTCACAGCTGGCACCTCTGAGGGCAGCTCCCTTTGTGGCCTGAGCTGGAAACACGTGCCCCCTCCCCGTTCTGGGTGCTTGTAGTCTGAAGGCCCCCTCCCTTGGTTTACAGCAGAGGCTCAGCAGATGAGAGCCCAGCTGTGGGCTGGAGAGGGGCAAAGACCCAAAGGGAAACCTTCACGTGTCTTAACCCAGAAAGCCCCAAGCTTTGCCCCCAATCTCTAAGAAGGGACATAAACCAGCGTGTCCACATGGCCGCACTGGCTGGAATTTATGGAGAAAATAGAAGATTTCCATCAGCTCGTTTTCCAGACAAATGAGCAGCCTCCAGAGGAAGGGGTGAGCCCCTGCCACCGACAGAGCTGGCTGGGGTGGGTGGTAGGGTTGGTGTGCATGACGGTTTATGGTCTTTCAGGCACTGAGAGGCAAATGCCACCTTCTTCCCAAAAATGAGCTTCCGAGTCTTAGTGTGCATGGTATTTCCCTTCTAACCATTGCTGTGTTAGGGGAAAAATAGAAATTAGTAGTAAAATGGGAGGACCAGTCTTAGAAACCTCCCACAAGATGTCCGTCCTTCATGCAGGACTGCAGGAACTCATCCCAAGAAACGTTTGGTTACAACAAGGATCATCTTGGCCATAAAGAAGCGATGTCTTTGAAACTGAATCCCTGTGATCCACATTGTTTCTTCTGGAAACCTCTTCCTGGTTACTCAGCATCACCGTGAGCCTCACGCAAGTGATAACCTGAGTTGCTTCTACAGTGTGGAGCGATTTATAGGAATATCCAAGGACACCACCTTGGATTACCATAGGTTATAAAATTAAATCATCGTGCATCCTGGGAAAACAACAAAGTGCACACTGCTGGTTTTTCAAGGACCTGAGAAGTCCATGTCCTTCAGCCACCATGGGCCAGTTCAGGTCACAACAGAAATGATCTTCAAGTACTGTGAGGTTGGCACCCCGTTCTTCAGATTTAAAAACAAGGGTGGCCAAAAAGGGCTGTTAAAGATGTGAAGCCTTCCACAAAATCCTTGAGGGAGGAGAGGTTGGTTGAGACCCAGAGTTGAGCTGAGGTACTGATTCTGTCTGTCCCTCCTGGGCCCCAGGGGCAGCCTGAGAGGGGTCTGTAGAGTGAGCTGGGGACCATTCCCGCTGATGGCCCAAGGACTGCTCCACGGTCCACCGAGTCCTCTGGTGGCCTGAAGACAGCAGAGGCGCTGCTGCCCTCCAAGGCACGGCCACTTACACATTGAGGATCCGAGGAGCTGGAGCCTGGAAGATGGCTGAGGGGTTGGCCGTGAACTTCCTCCTCACCTCTGGGACCTGAAAAAAGAAATGTCAGCAGGCCTCTTCCTCGAGTCCCCTTACCCACCAACTTGGGGGAGGGGAGATGGATCCCTCCTCCCGGCCTCCTCTTGTCCTCCAGGAGTCCACCCTTGGCGGGCAGGTTCACTTATGTACATGGCCTTCTGGTTGGGCAGAGTCAGGAAGCTGAACCGGCCCACCTTCCCATTGGCTCCTCCCTCACACAAATGCTCAGATTCTTCAGGGCTTGGCACTAGCGTGCACAGTGGTCACCAAGGGTAAGACTGGGCTTTAAGAGAGAAAGGCCTGCTCACCAGAAAGGGCAGCACTGAGGGTACCCCTTGGCTAACGACTCTCAGAGAAACTCCTTGGTTTTCTGTTTCTCAAGGAACAGTAGGTTGGAGACTGAGCCACTGCTGTCCTCGGCCATACTGCCACCTTACACCATCAGCACCTGACTCCTGGTCCCTAAGCTGGAAAACGCCTGCTCTTACAGCCCCAGAGCCCGGCCCTCCTGCAACACTGCTTCAGGCTGACCTGGAAGCTGGTCCCAGGGCTGCTGTCCCACCCGGCGCTGTGGGTTGGGATAGCAGTGGCTGGCTTTGTCTTTGTGGCTCTTGAGGGCTTCACTCCCGTCCAGGCCTGGAACTCCTGTCTGAAACACAGGGGACAGTCACAGCCTAGCACAGGGCCCACCAGCCCTCCATGGGACCCCCTAGGAGCCACTGCTGCACGCCCATTCCTCCTGGGATGCTCAGCTCTCTCCCGGCCCCAGCTCTCTATGGCC